AAAAGTATCTTGACTTGTTTAAGGCATTATTCACAGTCGGTTTGCTTTTCACTTGACTTTTGCAATCTCAACTTTCGATTCCGGAAAAATAAACATTTGCGTCACTTACAAACGGTAATAGTTAAACCAAAAATTATTGTAAAAGCAGCATTTTTTTCGGTAAGTCTTCTACAAAGGTGCAGACTCAGAGCAGATTCCTCAGTTGGATTAGGCTCCTTGACAAAACAAACAGTTAACTCTTCTTCATAGTTCAAACTACCCAGGCTGCTCCAGTGACAAGAGGTATAGCTTTGACAAAACTAAGATATGATCTTGACTGCATGAAACTGCCATATGCCTGATTTCCCCCTATTACACATGTCATGAAGGCAAGAATCCAGCTTGGAGTCAGTGGTTGGTGGTTATTCAGGTGAGTTAAAGATTTGTTAGTTAAGTATATGTATGTCTTTGCTAACAATAAAGAGATAACTGTTCAAGCATTGCTGCCTTGACAACCTCCTATTGTTGACTGAGATAGGAAGATTGGCAGTTCCCAGAATATGACTGATTGTGTAGTTGAAGGTGGCACATGTATTGAAGTGGACTGTGGTGGTACACTTGGGTTAGAAAACTGTTGTTGAGCTACTAATGGTATTTGTTGTTGAGACTGATTGCATGATTGTAATAGGTAAGGGCAGGTAATGTGAGAGCCATGAGATTTTCGGTGGCCATGTTGCTCTCAGTGTGAACAGGGGTTTCTGCATGAATTTGTGACAGAAGCAGGCCTTTCTGTGGTACATCCCCTTTCTTGACTTGTTTTGTTTGGATTACTTGGTTGTGGTATAATTAGTTGTTCAAAATTTCTCATCATCATATTTTCCCAGTCATAGGACTTGTAAAAGTCTGAAGTCTAAGAAGTACATGTATGTACTTCTGGCTAGCTTTTGGGCTATTCATAACTATTGTTGCTGTCTGCTATGTTACTACTTGTATCATGCTCTATAAGACCTGGAAGGAGTCACTTAACTCATTTACTCTTGTTAGAAAAGGATCCTTGCAAACAGGACATGACTTTTTGTTTCTTTCAAGGTAGTTAAGGTGACAAGTGTGGAACCATGCAAGCTGTATCATCACTGAAGTATTTTAATTGTTGGAGCTCAGGAAGTCACATAAAACATTGGGGTTTGGCTCAGGATTCTGTTTAATTCTGTGGTGACTGTATGCCAGTGGGAGACCCATTAAGTCAATGACTATGTTGCCAAATGATGGAAGTTTATATTTCAGCTCTTCTAGTAGTCTTCTGTTGTTACCAATTTCTCTTGATACTGTACCTGTAAAATTGTGTGAATGCCTTTCCTGAATCAGGATGGCATAAACCCAGTGTAACAGATTTCCTTAGGATGATAACATAAAGGGAGTTTTATAACCTTTGAAAGAAATCTTTTTGGCTTCTTTTTTTGTATGTTGCAATGAGCTCTTAAACTAAAGTTAGCTTTTCCTTTTGAAAAAAATATGAAAGCCAAGTTGCATTATTTTTTTAAACTTAAGGGCACACAAGACAAAGAGAATGAAGATATTAAGTACTCAAGTCCTATTCCATTTTGTCCAACTTACCTGCTTTGGGCTATGAAGATTTTTGGCTATAAGTTGCAACTTTTTTATCTTAAATTCTACTGATCGTCCAGCAAGGAGAGTTTGGTCACTTTCACCTGTCCCTCAAAGATACTCTGGTATGAAATGTTTCATGAATTTCTTCTGCGTTTTGTTTGCCTGCAACAGCTTTGCATTCAGCCTAATCCTTTCTGCTGGGTTATGGCATTGCATGGAACTTCTTGTAAGAGAATGCCAGATTTCCGGTTTTTTTTTTTTTTCTGTTAAAGTGCTCATGACATGAAATTTTTTTTGCCTTTTTAGGTTGATAGGTGTATTCCAAATTAGAAATACTTGATTTAAGCACCTAGCAAGTTCCCCTTGACCATTTTTTTTGTGCATTGAAAGTACAGTTAGGTGGCTGGTCAGTGCCAAATGTTAGCTACAAGAATAACACACATATACTTGGTATTTCTATACACTTCTCTCCAAAGGATGTAGCTGTATGGCTAAATGGGCGCATTTTGATCATCGACATCAAGGAGATTTAACTCTTCGATGTTTGTTAGCTTTATGCTCCATACTGGCTCTGAAGATGCCTGTTATGAACACATGACATTAGACAAATCAGGGGAAGATAACCAAAGAATTCAGCTTGTGACAAAGTTCAAGCCCTTTCCTGGACTGACTGACATCCTGTTGCATGCACAGTGTTAACCCCTGGCGGATACTAGCATAAACACAAGCTCGAAGAGGCTGTGTATTCTTCTAAACTAAGTTTCCGAAAAAACATCCTATGAGCCATCAATTCCCCCCTTCCCTTAAAAAACTAAAAGTAGCAACAGTAGCAATGTCAATGTGATTGCAGCGCCGGACGAGATAAAGAAAGAAACAAAATGAAAAAAATTTTACTGAATTAGATGGTAACAAATCCAAGTGTTGTATGAAAGTTGATGCATATGAAATATTAATTTACCATACTGACATCAGTTATTTGCCATTGAGAAAAATGGGTCATATGGTAATGCTACACTAAACTAGAGAAGTTTTCTCCATTAAAATCTCTATTTGAGGTTAACTTGAATGAGATAAACTCACTCATTTTGCATTTGACGGGCTCAACGATGACAGCCTCACTGAGCCTTAGCAATCTTTGAGGAAAGGAGCAACTTGCAGTGAAACTGCCTGATGACTTCTTGGCACAAAATCATTGTGCATTGTGATACAGCTGATTCTTTCATCAAAAGTTAGCTTTTGGTTTGCTGAGGGAATCATTCTACAGCAATGAAACTCTGGAGCACTGACCAAGGGGAACCTTCATCGCACTT